AAAATAATTTCATACAGTCATCAGTATCATAACCAATATGATAACTGCCGATATCAAGCCGTAGAGAAGTTAATTGACATTGAGATGAGAATAATTGACGTAGAAATTTTTTGAATATATTCATTAGTTTGTCTATAATTTTGTCAATAGAAAGATTTTTTATTGAAAAAAATTGAAATTTTCAATTTAATAAATTCATCGTTGTTAATAGGTGTCAATCAGGTCAAACGAACTGACAAGCTCGCCAAGAATCGTTGAGAGGCAACTGAATTGTTTAAACAGTTCGTGTCAAAAGAGTTGATCTGATAGAACAGTTCTTTCGAATGAACTGAACTTTTCAAACAATCCCATTCAGAGAAACGGTTGAAATAGTTCAGTTCTTCTCCAAGATCGTTTTCAACAGCTCTTTAGTTTCAAATTAAAACTGAATTTGTCGATCTCTGGTTGTTAAAAAAAAAATTATTTCGTTACTAGCACCTGTTTTTTATCCTTAAAAATTAATTGTTTATTTTTCATCCTTTGTTTGAATCTGCTTAATGGATCATAATCGACTAATAAGTTTTTGTCGACTAGAATTAACAAATATCTTTCTCTTTGATTAAGCGTAGTTAATAGATCTTAGAAACTAGATAAAAATCAAATCTTTAATTAATAAAAAGTGGCAGTCAAATAAATTTTAATTATATTTCTCGATGTTTCGTTTTTTGACGTGATAATTTTATCAAACTCAAACTGCCAAAAACTGAATTAAATTTATCAGGTGATGCAACTGTTAGGTAATTATAATTCATCAGCTCCAACTATGATTTCATAATGCTTTCCATCTAGACAGATAAACAAGGAAAAACAAGACGATTTTGCGCTTCAAAAGAATATAATTATTTTTAAGAACAACGATTTAGAATGTATTTGTTATTGAAATCTCGACATTTCTTGCAAACAAATTATTTTTTACGCGTAAAAACACTGTACTTTTTCTTGTCTGTTTGACTGAAGATGCAGACGATTGTTCTCTATACAGAATACATAGCACCAATTTTTAATGAATCAGGCCTAAATCAAGCATGATGTGAAAAAACAATAACCCTCTGATGCTCTGTGCCAAATATATAGAAAAACCATATCACTTGCGTCCTTTATTACAAGACATCGTTGTATAGGTGCATATTTCTATAACTGCAGCTCAATTGTCTTCCTTTTGTACACTTTCGAGTTCAGATGTCTATACATATACATACTTATACATAACTGGCTATGCGTTGACCATCGTCAGAAAAAACAGTTTTGCCACAAAAATTTTTGATTTCTAAATAAATAAAACAAATATTTGTTCTGTTGATTTTAATTATATTTTAATATTTGATTTCGTTGGCATCAGCGATATTACATAGTGACGTTAAACTAGGATTAGATGTCTCTTCTGATTTAATTGGAATAAGATATCTGTCCGAATAGCAGAAGGTATGGCTTATATCCCATGAGGCCCGTTTTTATTTCTCATTCTGTCACATATCGTCCGTGGTATTGCTTGTCCATTTTTGCTCTATAGATATGAGTTTACAGATTTTGCACGATAATGACACATCTGTACAATTTAATTCTGTAGTTTTCAAATTTCATGAAACTTGTCTAATCTTAGATGATCATAGATACTTTCTATTAGTCTTTCTATGTTTCATATTTAATAACTCTTCTCTTATTAAAATTCGTTAGTATCATAAATTACTTCTATTATACTTCGTTTTTGCAATTGGTCTTCCATATCGAAAAGAATTGACCATATCATCATTGAACATTAATGAAAGATTTTCTAATTGATCTTGAATAAGCAAAGATAAGTTTTGGATCAGCAATGGAGACAGCCAACATTGAGTAATAGTAAGTGACTTCAGATTTAAAAAGCGAAGAACTTTTTTATTTTTATTTTGAACAAAAATCCATTCGAAATTAATATCACAAGCTGTCGAATTCGTTTCATCGAAACAAACACTTTGAATAGAGGACCAAAAAAGCACTAATGATAAATCATTATGTAATGATTGTGATCTTGAATAATATTCATTATAAGGTAAATTCGATGCTTTCGTAATAACAGCACGTTTTTCTTTATTATTCTTTCTTGAAACAATTAAACAAATAAGAGAATTTATACGATGATTTAATGACCACAGAGAATGTAATATTTTCAACCATGATAAATTAGAAAGGATAATAAGAAGAATTTCATTTGGTAATGTTCCAAATGTATATACCATTGTATCTGAAAAGATTACTTACAAGCGAAATATTTCTACTGTAAGTTAAAAAAATCGTACATAATCGGCTCAAACTAAAGTTATCACTGCCAAAATTATAAATCCAAGATATGAGCTACTGACAAAAATAGAGGTATTAAAGTTTTGCAGTATAGGATAACGGTGGAAATTTTCTAGGAAATCAAAAGATACACTAGCATAAGAATAAAAATTTGGCACAGTAGATCAGTACTATAAACTCAGCACCCAATGAAGCCATGAAATCTATGCCATTTTTCGCTGTTCCATCATGCTCACAAGTATACAGAAAAATAATCATTACGCCACAGCAACATAAATCTGTATTAAACTAATAAAAAATATAGACTAACAAATTCAAAACTTAGCCGTCTGATTCAATAATTATTTAATATATCGGCACATTTGCCTAAGACAAAAGAATATTCACTCTTACAGAACAAATTCTCTCGAGAAAACGATAGAAATTAAAAATGGTAATCTTGTTGATGATATGTAACTCGTTAGAAATTTCAAAACGATGTATTAATGCTTTATACATAAGTAACAAATCAAACAGATTATAATACTATAGCCCTAATTTTGCACTTCTAATGTACGAAATCTTCTAAATAGAATAAATAAGAACAAATGATGGAAAAATCCTAGAATAGAGCAAAAGATTCGTCGGAGTTGGATAAAGCAACGGTAAAGACTCCGTGAAGTACACTAAGGGTACAAGCTTTCCAGGATGCAGTAGGATAAGAGTAAAGACAATTACCTTCGATAAGGTACAGGATATCCAGAAAGCTTACCATGCACTTCTCTAGAGCAGGAATTCTCAAATATTTACAGGATGAGTGTCGATGTTAATGAGTCTATGCTTGTGGCTGACAATCGAAAGGATGAGAACAATCATCACATCCCATGAAACGAACCTATACTCACTCATCAAGACTTCCTCAGCTATTGGATTAGCAAGAAAGTTCTGTCGTTTTTTTTTTAAATTTTTATTTTATTTTTTTTCTTTCAAACCTCAAACTAGTTTGCAATTATATATGCTTCATCGCTATCTACGACCTACGGCCAACGCTCTGGTAGAGAAAAGATCCCGCATTCGTAAAAGTCCAGAGACTTTTGACTGAAAAAGTCAGCCAAGTCTGTTTTGAGATTGCTTTCGTCATCGAACTTTTTCTCACGCAGGTGATTGGAGAGAGATTGAAATAAGTGATAGTCAGTAGAAGCCAAGTCCGGATAGTAAGGTGGATGGGGAATGGTAACCCATCCTAGCTTCAATAATTTTTCGCTGGTCGACTTTGCAACGTGACCCTTGCGTTATCATGTAAAAAGTAAACCCGATCTTGCTTGCCCTTGAGTTTTTGTGCTACACGATCCAATTGCTCACAGTAGAGATAGGCGGTAACGGTACATCTATTCGGTAGCAGCTCCCAATAGATAATTCTTTTAACACCCCACCAGACACTCAACATCACTTTCTTCGGATGGAGATCGTTTTTCGGTGTTACTGTACCGGTTTGACCAACGCTAAGCCATTGGCGCTTGCGCGTATAATTAATATACAGCATCCACTTTTCATCACCAGTAATGAGATTGCGAAGCCATTCATAGTTACGATGAGATGTCAGTAAATCCATACAAACATCAAGTCAAATTTTGAAGCTGATGGGCCGATAATTCATGGGGTATCCAAACCTTATATTTCCACGTCTTTCCTAATTCGTTCAGATATGTTTCCACCGTAGTATGAGAACATTCGAGTTGCTCTGCTAAACAGCGTGTCGTCAACCGAGGATCGTCTTCAATGAGTTGTTTTAATCGGTCCAAATTCACTTCGACTGGTCTTCCAGAACGAGATGAATCATCCAATTCAAAATTCCCATTATTGAACTAATTGAACCAACGCTGTGCCGTACGTGTGAAGATAATATCCTGACCCATTGTCCTGCATATGTTGTTCGTTGCTTCCGTTGCTTTATGGCCCAGAAGGAATTCATGAAGTAAAAGCACTCAAATCTCTCTCCGAGACAGATTCATTTCTGTTTCACGATCGACATCCATATCGATAGCTGTTATATCATTCGATAGCTATTCACACTCCCTTTATATATCCTTCATATAGAAACTTCCAGAACATTCTCGAACGTTCTATGAAAATTTTAAAAACGACAAAACTTTCTTGCCAACCTAATACTTTCACAACCATATCGTCACTACTATCCATTTATAGCCACATCTATGACTATGTTGTCTCTAACATCATAAGTTCATACTTGGTACCACATTACGGTGATGGAGAAATCGATGAAATCGCAGTTTTAGAATCTATAAGGACAATCCATGAAGTAGCCATAATACACTTATTTTAGAAATTAAGAAGTCATAGATTTAGCCAAGGGGAAAAACAGCGATTTATGACTTTTTGAGTTGAAATGATTTATAATGATTTTTAAATCATTTCAAATCACCAAAACTCTTTTTTTTTATATGATTTAACATGATATAAAATGATTTAATTTTGACTTTCAGCTGATTTAAATCAGTTGTTTTCCCCTTGGATTTAGCTTCACTTTCAAATCAAAAGCTTTATTGCGATTATCAAATCGATCTTCAAACCTTTTTAAATGAGGTAATATCGAGAATTTCTGCAACTGAACTCAGACTGAATGCATGTGAGACTTAATACATATCATAATGTAGAGCACGTAATTGCCATTATAATCGATTCATTTTTCATCCTATCTCCCCATTTTCTAAATATGCTTTAAATGTAGTAACGCTAAAATTATTTTCAAATACTTGATAAAACTGGTGATACTCTTCATATGTTCTTGAAATTTTAGCTGACTGAACTGTGATTTTCTTCAATATGTACCTAAGTGCCTTCAATCTATGTGCATTCAGCTTCATTTCTGTTTGTCTTAACGTATCTTTTGTAAAAAATTTCAAATATCGACTCTGTTGTATTAATTTTACGTCCAATCGTATGAAAAAAACATGGAGACATGAGGATGTAAACTAACTTTTTGCGCAAAGGAAGCAATGCAATCAGACATACAACAAATAAATTATAGTAACAATGAGGAACATAGAGAAGAGGAGATGCACCAACTGCCCGAATACTTCCTCCATTGGAGAAAAATGCCTGGAAGGAAATACAGGATTAAAAACCTGTCCACAGGATCGCGAATTTTATCTGCTGGTGAGCATTTCCCTTAGAAAACTTCTAGCTACCCTTCTGGTAACAATGTATGCTGTATATAATGGTGTACACGAAATCTTACAGGTACTTCCTTAACGTTAGATTGCGCAAATTTTTCAAATAATTTGCTATCTATTTTTCAGTACACGAAACTCTGTGATGCTGTCATCGAAACTTATATCGATAATTCTTACCATGGTATAGTTCAACAAAATAAAGTATCAAAAAAACTAACAAATTCTAATAGTACATATCTAATCCATTTCTTTCAAACGATTCTACATTCAAATATAATAAATGAACATTCGAAAATGAAGGATAAACGGTAAAGATACTTTGCACACTTTGCCAAAATTAAGTACAAATATTAATCGTTAATAAATAGTCAATGATTTTTTATCGAAAGTGTGAGAATTTTTATTTGCTTTGTAAAAATTATCTAGTTCGATAAAGATCTAAAATAACGAAAGATAATAATTATTTCATTTCAACATATATTCCAAATTTGGATAAGATGGGAATATTTGAAAAGATATAAAACAGTTATTTTTATTTGCTGTACCAGCATGACTAATGAATTTTACTAGATATCTCACGAAATTAACAAATATGCCATCCTACCTGTAAAAAAAAACAAACCTTCACTTGAATATTTCATTTTTGGATCAATAGTAAAAACGGTATTGAAAAAAGAATTCCATAGATACACAGTATATCTGTATCATGAATACTATATATTGAGAAAAATAGCAAAATCATCTCTTATATTATCTTGTGTGTCAGGCAAATATTTCAATCAGTAACAGTAGGCATGATAAGATTTCCAAGAAATGCGCACCCTTTACTCAATGGCAATAGTTATCAACTCATTTAAGATGTGCAAGAAAGATATTTTTCTTCTTTCTCAAAAAATATGAATGAATCTAACGAAAAAATGTCATATTTGTCTGACCAAATGAAACATGAGTGAATATTTCTTTCTGTTTTATTGTAATGCTTTTCTATGATTGAATTTAACCTCTTATGAATGTTAGAGAAAGAAAGAAAGAAATAAACAGAAAACAATTCGTGCAAATCAAACGTATATATTCCGTTTTTCATTGGATAATATTTCATGAAAAACGGCTAACGGTCAATCAGCATGATTAAAGTAGAAGTTAAAAATCAACAAAAGGAATTAGTACTAAGTTGTAGAGCACACTTTTCTGCATAGGATACTGCATTTTGTTCTGTCTGTCAGTGGTTTTTAAAAAGAAAAAACATGGACGAAATAAAATTCTGGATCACTACAATATTGCATGATTGATCAGAGCACAAGAAAAAAGTATACAACTCAAGAAGGAAAGTGTTGATCATCAAGTATCTTATACCATTTTGAAGCGAAGAATTTGGGCTTTCTTCTCATCTATTTAGACGTTCTGCAGATTGTTATTGCTATGAGAGAAGTCCTTCGAAAAACTAAGAAAAATGGGTGTCTGTGCGTTACCAAAAATCGAATTTAGTTTATTTTTTGACTCAATTAAAGTCATTTACTTTGAAACTCTTATTGATCTTCCACTAACTTTTGATGGGCTATCTAATACACATATCAATTTTTGATACAAGTGCTCTAGCGCCGAGAAACTTGGTAACGCACAGACGTGACTTTCGGGTACCTTATATTACCACATTGATAAGCCTACTGAAAGTTGTTGGTTTCAACTAAAATTTGAAGTTCAAGACACTCTTACTTGGTTTTTGTTGATGACTAGTTAGTTTTGAATAAAACATGAGATAAAAGCACAAAAGTTTTTAAAAGGACTTCTGGAAATCTTCGCAGGAATCATGCTTCGTTAATTCTAGATTATTTTGGCATATAGTAAATTTATTTCGTATTCGGTGAGTATAAAACATTTGCTTGATATGAAGTTCACTGCGGCTCAATAACACAAGCGTTACCGAAAAAATTTGAAGAAAGGTCATCTTAATACTGATAAAGGAGAGTCTTTAATTAATGTATCGCTTTTAACTTGAAATATACTTCAGTATAGGTAGTTTCTTATGTTGATTCAGAATTCGATATTCATTTGTGCTCTAAGGTGTTTCTAATACGGGTCTCTAGACATCTAGTGTCTGGAAATCCCTCATAAAATATGAGATATAGAGAGACTCTGATCTGTCGAGATTGTAGAGTATGTCAAGTCGCCTATAGAAAAAAAATTGTGAGCTTAACAAATACGTTTTCCTGAAGTACGAAAATTTCACTAATGATTTTAGAAAAAACTGCATCAGTTCTGATATTTTGGCTCGTAAAATCCTCATACCTCAGCAGAAATGTATTTGTGAAGTCGGAAATCTTTTTATATTGGTAACTTGATATACTCTACAATCTCGACAGGTTAGAATTTCTGTATCTCATATTTTATGAGAGTCCTCCAAACATCGGATATTTAGAGAGCCATATTAGAAACATCTTAGAGCACAAATGAATATCAAATTCAGAACCAGCATAAGAAATTACCTATAGTCATGTATGTCCCAAGTTAAAAGCGATGGATCAATTGAAGTCCCTAGTGAAAAAGCAGAATACTTTACAGGTATGACCATCAAAAAAAGTTTACATAAGACAATGGTGACTGCTTGAAATATAAATGAACATCATTAATTTGATGCTCTAAGGTGATATTTTCATATACGAAAAAAAATTTTAGATTTGGGAATTTTTTGTAGAAATCCATGTCTGTGCGTTACCAAAACGTCTGTGCGTTACTTAATGTTTTGTCAATAGCTCGCTCATTTTTCAAAATGTTGATGTCTTCGTTCTTCCAAAAGATAGCCCGAACTCTGAGCTACAAAACCTTCTCTCACGCAACTCATTAACATGGAGCAGTTCGCAGGATTTATCACTTCTTTCGCGAGTACTGCAAGAGGAGGGCCTTTTTTGTCTGTGCGTTACTGACCATTGTTTCTTGTGTAAAACTCGATTGCATAAAGATAGAAACTTGAAATTTTTAAGGCAAGTAGAACTTCGCCGAATATATATTTGCTAAAAGTTTCATCGCTCTAGCTCCATTAGTTCTCGAGATATACGCTTCTGAATTTGAAAAAACGTCTGTGCGTTACCTGCGTTTTTCATGATTTTATTTGAGCATTCCCTAATTATACATGATGACGAAAAAGAATAACCTATCTGCATACAATACGAAGGTCGTTGTAAATGTCTGATACTTTTCGTACAAATATTACTAGCTGCAGATTTGGATGGAAGATGGACCTAACTCGGTTAGACTTTATTCATTCAGTGAGCTTCTTGTGCACACTAACTAACCACATACTAGAAATAATCGTCCTTTCATGTCATAACATAGACTATAACATCACCCTTCCACACCGATTTATATTTAACCATAAGGAAACTTCTATGCTTTACTTATTCCTACATGTATGATATTCATATCATTCTTTGATTTTATTTTTTACTGTCTTTTTGTACTTTATTCTGTTATGTTATCATTAGAAATCTACAAATTGATCTGAGAATAAGTTGTGTTTTAATATCGTTAGATCGAGGAAGGTTCGAATACGATCAACAAAAATATTGAGTTATGTCGAATTGAAATTTGTCTATAGAAATATTCTTGTAGTTGAGAAAAAAGAGATAGAATAAAACAGGAAATAATCATTCACTCAGTAAGTTATTCTAATTGACTTTTGTCATTCTATAATTAGATGATATTATCCATTTATAAAAGAATATTCTCTTATACATAAATATGAAAATAAATTTTCTTTCATATGAATAATATAAATATACATAATAATAGCATAACGATGAAAATGATATCGGATGAATGAAGATGTCTTACACATAAATGAAATTATTCATCTGTATTGTTTATATTCTGATTATTTTAAAAATTCGAAACAAGAATAGTTATGATTATTTTCGTTTAGAAAATTGTTTAAATTTATTCTATTAGTTGAAAACCATGCTATGTATTGAAATTTTAATGTTGACAAATCTTAATTCATTTTGAATAAATTCATAAATCTTAATAAATATTTTCATACTAATATGTATAATGAAACTAATTGAAAATGATTAAATTCGAAGAAAATTCAATTGAATTGAGTTCATGTTTCTTTTTTTATATAAAATATTCAATTCTGAAGATGATAATTGACTTATGTCGAAGTCATTTTTTAGATATATTTCAAATAAATTTGTGAATAAAAATAAGATTGAAATTGTTTGAGAATTACTACAGAAACTATTAAATCATTCTTTACTCATTTTCGAATAGAAATCAGATTCGAATTTAACTAAGTCTCATATCAAATTGACTTTTTCTTTGATAATTTCGATGCGTGCAAAACTGAAAAACTCTCACAACTTATTTGTTTCTTCATCTATTTTGTTTTGCTTGGTTTTTTTTTGTAGAAAGCTAAAGAACCTGAACTTAAAATTGCATTTGTTTTTTTTTTTGTTTTCCAAAAAAAACATATTTGAATTTGACAAGAAAAATTCTTATATATGTTGTTCTAGATTGCTTTCTAAATCGAATTGAAATACATAAGGATATGTATCTTATTTTTTATTATAGTTTGAACTTCATGTAAGGAATGTTTTTTCTATTCATTATTGCATATCATCAATGAAGAACTTATTTAAAATTCTATATCTAATGTAGCTAAATCAATTTGAAATAAAAAATTCAAAATAATAAAAAAAATGATTTTGAAATGTTCTAAAATCAATGAATATCTGTGCTTCGAATTGAAAAAGTAATATTTAATCGATGAAAATTTATTTCCTTATTTTAGATAAAATATTTTCAATCTACAAAAAAAAAAAAAACAACATTTGTTTAAATATTACATATTATGTATTTATATTATTCATGATAGAAAACTCATTATTAATACATGTCAAATAATGTATTCGATCAGATATAGAAATAAAAAAACGTCAGAGAAACAAATTCCCTATAAAGATATTCAAAGCGAAACTCTTTTTTTGTTTTGATGTCATAGAAAAGAAATGTATTGTTTTCTTTGAATAATCCTCTAATAAAAGGAATAAATAATTTCATAATAAGTATTTGCACATTTAGAAAGGTATCGTATGAACAATCGTATTTTATTCGAAAATTTTTTTTTCGATTTTTTTTTCTAGTAAAAAAAAGCTAAAAAATGATCTAATACTAATTCTAATGAAGTGCAGAATACGTTTTTGACAATGTCATTCCACTTTTTTCATCGAATGGTCTCACCATTAAAATTCTACATTTTTTGTGATCATCACGCCAATCTATCAAGAAATTCTTTCGTATAAAATCGAACTTTCCCATAAACTCAATCAAATAATAAAAAATAATAAACAAAATTACTTAAAGATTGAATTTATTTTGTCTATAAACAAGAAAATAAAACTCATTGATTGTTCTTAATATTTTTCTTAAGATTTAATCGTCAAATTAAATAGCAACTATTTCTATTCGACTGAATTCTTCAATTCGATTTTATATCATTTGAAATAAATCTTCTAGAAAAATTAGATAAAATATACTTACAAAATTTGAAAACATTTTCTAGTAAACACTAAAAATTATTTATCAAAAATCAATTTTATTCAATTCAATCAATTTTTTCAAATGATTTATCAAAAAAAAACAGATCTTGTATTGAAATTTATCTATCCAAGATAATTTAAAATGACTTTCAAATAAATTCGTATATTTAAAATTAAACTATTTTTCAATATTATTTCCAAAAGATTTTCATATTCAAATAAACATGAATAAAATTCGAAAACAACAACCGAAATAATGTTTATTATAATCACTTAACAAAAGATAATAAATAAATTTTATAAATGCTTTTTCTTTTTTCTTTGCAAACAAAGAAATGTCTCTATCATATATCATTTTAAAGGCTATTCAATAATAAGAAAGAGAAATAAAAAAGTCATGCTATTTTTCACTATTTTTGTTCACCGTCCAAAACAATAATTGAAAAGAATATCATTGTTTTCATTGACGATATCGGTCAATTAAAATTAATGAATAGAACATATATATATATATAGTCTTAGAAAAGTAGATATATGTACACAAACAAATATGAAAGATTTATTGGTTGAGTTTGATGATTTACCTGATGAAATTCTTATATATATATTTAAAAAACTGTACAATGTTGAAGTACTTTATTCTTTAATGGATGTTAATCAACGACTCAATAGAATTGTACATGATACAATTTTTACTCGTGATTTATATTTATTAGAATATTTACCAGACAACAAAACTAGCTCTCCATTATCAGATTCAATACTTGATCAATTTTGTTCAAAAATTTTACCTGAAATTGGGCACCGAATTAAAACTCTTTATCTTGAACAAACATCAATGAAACGTATCCTTCATACTACAAATTATCCTAATTTAAATAACCTTAGTTTATTTCATATCGACATCGAAACAGGCATGGCTCTATTTGATGGTAAGAGATTTTCTTTGATTGATTTTATGGTAGAATTAATTAGTTATTAGAAAACAACATGATTTATTTCGAACATATAATAAATAGAATTAGATATTCATAATTAAACATCATCTAATAATAGAAAATCAATTTTTTTAATTTCACTTTTATTTACTACATAAAATATACTCTTTATAGGAATGTCGTTACGAAAAAAAGAATTTAATTATTAATTTGTATAAGAAAAAAGAATATATATATTGATAATATATTCGATTGAAATTTTTCAAGATTAATAGAGTTAATATAGAGAGTTTAGAAGAAAATCAATAATATAAACAAGTCAATAAATGAGATAGAGAACACAACATTGATCATATAGAATCTAATCTATGAAAGAATTTAAAAAAAAAACATCATATATAGATGATAATGTTGTTAAATAGAAAATCTTAGATATTTTAATCGAATGAACAGAAACAAATTTGAAAAATATTTTTATCATTAACTTTAAAACTTTTTATTTAGATAAAAATCCTTTAACTCATATATTCAAGAATCAAATTTCATCACTCTTTATCAATTTTAAAGAAGTAAACGACTCGCTTCCAATGAGAACTTTCTATTCAACTATATTTGAAAAAATATTGACCATATTTACTAATTTACAATGCTTAAAATTCAATCCATCTGCATCTTATGATGATGCTGTATTGTTTTATTGGATACGTAGAACTGCTATCTCTTCAACTTTATTAGAGTTACATGTTAGTGTGCTAGAGATGCGGGACTGTCTTGATCTACTTGATGGACGTTTTGATCAACTTCGTGTACTTTATGTTACTGTTGATAGGATTTTGCCTTCGTTAGAAATTCAACATGATGTAGGTTATTTTTTTTAATATTTTGTTTTTTTAAATGAACTCATATTTGTTTTCATTTTCAGCCAAAGCTATTACCAAACTTACGAATTTTTTCTTTATGCTTCATGCGTAAGGTGTATCATTTTGATAAATCAATTGTGTCACTTCTACGTCGAATGTTAAATTTAGAAGAACTTCATTTAAATATTATAGTCAAATGTAATGAAAAATTTATTGATAGTGATACACTGATGAAAGATATTATTATTTATATGCCACGATTATATAAATTTACATTTAATATTTGCTCAATCATTAATCATTGTGATCAAACAAATTTCCCATTAAATGAACATATTGAGAAAACATTTGAATATTTATATAATAATGAAATAATTACTTGTATTGATCATTTTCAAGAAGAAGGATATAGTCAATGTCATATTTATTCATATCCATATAAATGGAAAGTTTACAATAACATAACAAATAATTTTCGAGGTGGATTATTTACTAGTGTTACTCAAGTATTATTATATGATGAACATCCATTTGAACGTGAATTTTTTCTTCAAATTGCTCAATCATTTCCATTTATGAAAGAATTAACAATACACAATCGAAAAGCACAAAATAATAAACAACTTATAAAATCAAATAATGATAATCAAATGTTATCAATTATTGAATATCCTAATCTTACTCGACTTGATCTTCATTATACTCATAATGATTATGTCGAATTATTTTTATTTGATAGGAAAATGACTTTGCCAAATAATCTTCATCTTTGTGTCGATTATCAATTACTAAAAAAAGTGACACACAATTTTACAAGATATACAACACCAAATAATTGTGCAAAACTTGCTACTCTATATTTTTATCCAGTGGATCAAATCGGTGAAAATATCAAAAAGTATTTTCCTCATACATGTATACGTTGTATTTCTGATTTTGTATTACGTAAATAAAATAGATCAAAAATAAATTCATTTATATGGAATGAAATGATTGAAATAGACAAAAGAGAAAGAGAATAAAGATAAGAATTTTGAAAGAGAAGTTAAACAATATACAGTTTTATTAAAAATTGATTGTACAACTGAGAAATGAATTTGTATACAATAGATCTTCATAATTGGTTAAGTATTTGAACTTTAGATGTTTCATCAATATATAGCTTACCTATGATAGTGTTTTTTCAGATCAATTCTTTACATCTGTCAATCAAAAGTATTCACAGAACAGAAAAGAATGACATCTTCGATGATTTTCTTTCTAATTTTCTCTATCAAAAATGCTTGATTTTTCTTGTCAATTACTATTTATTCTTGTTAGTCAGAATCAGAATAAATAATATTTATGAGTAAAGAATATACACAAGGCTAAAAAAAATATTGTCGAATGTATTCCTTCAGTTATCTTGTGTTCAAAACATAGTCTATTTAACTTTGACAAAAGATGGTCCATTTTAATTGAAAAAGTTCTATAATCATTTTTCATATGATTGGCATCAGCTCTTACTATAGTAAAAGCATTACATTTATTTTATAGGAAAGATGAAGATAAAAATAATGATTTTTCTTTTATGACATTTAAATACAAATGAGAACAAAATTGTATTTTATATGTTACATATATTTAAGATAATATCAATTCAGAATAGTTCACATATACCAAATAATTATTGACTAGAAAAGATAGAAAACTAGAACCTTCTTCATCCGTTCGGTACAAAACAATCGAGATCATATTGACTTTGATTAAAACGAAAATCAAATTCATAATATGTTACATATAATAAACCATTCGATGGAAAATAATTTATATAATGTGCAAGTATTATGAAATTTTTAAGCACAGAAATATCTTTTAAAATCCATTTTCTATCATCTAAGAGATATCTTGAATGACGTCATAAATAAATTGGATGTGAGAAAATGTCCATTTTATTAATTAAGTCACCTTTACATACAAGTAAATATGTATTTCATATGTATAATAAAACTAGTGGATCAAAATGGCGATGATAAATTATTGATAAATATATAATAACAAATATTGTACAACACTTATTATTTGATCATAATCAATAAAAACAGGTTGTGTATATATTTGGAATATACGACTATTTAATGAAAAATTAAATTCTTCTTAAAGAATATTTTGAGAAGATTTATTTGATGAATTATCTAATAAATGAGGAAATAATTAAACAAATTGTTGATAAAGACTATTTTTGTCTATTTGATTTTCAATTGATCGACATAACAATTAAATTTTATCAATTGTTCGAATATCTAACTATGACGAACGACGACCAAATAAATATTAAAATATCTAGACAAGTTTTTATTTCATGAAACAACCTTCTTCATAAAAATTTTCAATGTTTTTTCGAACAATATGCGAACAAACAAAGATCGAACAAAGGAAAAAAACCGACAAAAAAAACAGGAGATAGTGGATAGCAGAGATTAGTACAAATCAAATAATAAATGTTTAATGAACACGAATGACAGCGCAAAATAGATAACAAGAAGAAAACCACAAGAAATTTTTTTTGACAAGGGAATAGAATGATTATTTTTGTTTGTTTGCTTGGGAATAAGATTTATTTTTTTAATCTTTTTATTGAAGACATTGAA